CGGCGCGGCGGCGGCGGCCGTCTTCTCGGCGCTCGACTCTTTGCTGTGTTTGTGGGATTTAGCGGGAATTGATCGTTTTCTGCGTCCGTCATCGCTGCTCCAGCTTCCCCCGCTGCTGCTGGAGCTGTGGCTCCGCCTCCTGCTGTGGCCCCGCCTCCTGCGAGCCCGGCCCCCCTCCGAGCTGCCGGAGGACGACCGCTGCCTGCGGGTCGGCGTCTTCGGGGGCGGCTTGTTTCCGTGGAGGCGCTCTTTGGTCCTGGCGGCCATCTTGCTGATCTCAGTCACGCCCAGGTCCATCCCGATGGTCTTCAGCAGGTCCTGGATCTTCTCGTACTCATCGAGCGCCTGACGCTCTCCTGGCCCCGGTGGCTCCGGCCCTGTGAGGTTCTGGTCCGGGCTGACGGAGGCCCGGTACCTCTCGTCCACCTGCCCCATGGCACGGGGGCCGTGAAGGTGAGGCCCCGGTGGGAGGCCGAACGTCTGAGGGAGGACGGGTTCCTGCGAGGGGGGGTAGTCGTCGTACAGCGCGTCCTCCGTCACATCTCCGTACAGGTCCAGACCCTGGGGACGGACCGGCTCAGACGGGAGTTTGGGGTCTTCAGCGTCTCCGTACAGGAACTTCTCCTCGTCATCGATGTCCTCCGTCCTGTCCTGGGCCCCCGCCGGCCCCCCCAGCATGTGGAGGATCTCTTTAATCTCTGCGTCGAGTCCAATGCGCTGAGCCATCTGCGGGTCGGACTGCAGCTCCGACAGCACCGAGGCCACCAGGTGAGGCTCCATGCCTTTAACCGCCTGAAGCAGCTGGTCAGCCACCTGGGACATGTGGGACCCTCGGGGGGAGTCCGAGGTCTGAAACATAGAAACAGAGCCGGGTGAGCCAGGGGACCAGAGACCCTGTCCTGGTGCTCTGAGAACCGATTCAAAACGTATTCAACAACAGGATGGGGACTGTCAGGAGTAAAGGGGGTAGGCAGTAGTGAGGGACAGTAGTAAAGGGGGACAGTAGTAAAGGGGGACAGTAGTAAAGGGGGACAGTAGTAAAGGGGACAGTAGTAAAGGGGGACAGTAGTAAAGGGGGACAGTAGTAAAGGGGGACAGTAGTAAAGGGGGACAGTAGTAAAGGGGGACAGTAGTAAAGGGGGACAGTAGTAAAGGGGGACAGTAGTAAAGGGGACAGTAGTAAAGGGGGACAGTAGTAAAGGGGGACAGTAGTAAAGGGGACAGTAGTAAAGGGGGACAGTAGTAAAGGGGGACAGTAGTAAAGGGGGACAGTAGTAAAGGGGGACAGTAGTAAAGGGGGACAGTAGTAAAGGGGATTAGGCACAGATTGTGGACAGGCTGTTGGTACCCTCAGAGACGGCGAGTCCTCGGAGTCCTGGCGTCTCTTCAGGATGGACTTGGTGGGCTGGCTCAGCATCTCCTGCAGTTCTTTGAGGCGCCGCGCTGAGTCCAGCTCTCTGAACTCTTTGCCTGACTTCCCGGAGCTGGAGCTGCTGCTGGAGCTGCGGCTCCGCGGCCGGCTCTTACTGCGACCGTGGCTCTGCCCCCTGGTTCTGGACTTGGACCGGGGGCGACTCATGCTCCGGCCCCGGCTCTTGGCCCTGCTCCGGTCCGGACTGTGACTCTTGCTCCGGCCGCGGCTTTTCCCCCGGCTCCGGTCCGGACTGCGATTCGTGCTCCGGCCCCGGCTCTTTGCCCTTCCAAGACTTTTAGCCCGACTCCGATCCGGACTCCGGCTCCTGCCCCTGCTCTTAGCCCGGCTCCGATCCGGACTGCGACTCATGCTCCGGCCCCGGCTCTTGGCCCGTCCCAGACTCTTGGCGCGACTCCGGTCCGGACTCCGGCTGCCGGGTCGGCTCCGGCCCCGGCTCCTGCTCCGCTCGTACTCGGGCCGGGGAGCGTAGTCTCTGCGGGGAAACGGTTTACAGTCAGGACGGTTTGAAAGGGGCACCTTTTAAAAGACCTGGGTTGCGGTCGAATAGTCCGTTTAGCTTAGGAACCTTCCTAACGGAGTGAAATGTTCTCTAGATGAAAGGAAAGGAGGTTTCAAACTTCCTTTATAACCTCCTTTAGCTTAGGAACCACTGGACCTCCCTCACCTTAAGGAGAGGAGAAAATGCTGCCCCACAATGCCTTGCGGCCGCAGCATTTGCCGTCACCCAACAGTCGGCCGTTCACGGAAACAACCGATTATGACGGAGAAATGATATCATGAAAGTTACGGTGCTTATTAAGCTTTTTAAAACGTATGTGGTAAGTTGCCAAAGTGCTTTGTTTTGAACGTTCATCAGTATTATAATCAAAAAGAGAAATATGAACGTTAGTTTTGACTGAAATGATCAAATAAAGTCAACATTTCACAGTCTTTACTGAGCTGTGTGGGGTTTGTTCAACTTTGAAAAGATGTTTGAATGGTGATATACACAGTGATAGATGTTAAGGACTAACGTTTATAATAAATACATTTGTATTGATTTGAAGATCTTTTCATACAATCATACGTATTGGGATCATTTGTATTAATGAGGACCGGAGGGAGAGGGTGACGAGCATAAGTTTCACTAGATAGACGACCGGGACAGACGACCGGGACAGACGACAGGGACAGACGACCGGGACAGACGACCGGGACAGACGACCGGGACAGACGACCGGGACAGACGACGGGGACAGACGACGGGGACAGACGACCGGGACAGACGACGGGGACAGACGACCGGGACAGACGACCGGGACAGACGACGGGGACAGACGACCGGGACAGACGACGGGGACAGACGACCGGGACAGACGACCGGGACAGACGACCGGGACAGACGACCGGGACAGACGACGGGGACAGACGACCGGGACAGACGACCGGGACAGACGACCGGGACGGACGACAGGGACGGACGACAGGGACGGACGACCGGGACGGACGACGGGGACGGACGACGGGGACGGACGACCGGGACGGACGACCGGGACGGACGACCGGGACAGACGACGGGGACAGACGACGGGGACAGACGACCGGGACAGACGACGGGGACAGACGACCGGGACAGACGACGGGGACAGACGACCGGGACAGACGACCGGGACAGACGACCGGGACAGACGACCGGGACAGACGACGGGGACAGACGACCGGGACAGACGACCGGGACAGACGACCGGGACAGACGACAGGGACAGACGACAGGGACAGACGACCGGGAGAGACGACGGGGACGGACGACCGGGACGGACGACCGGGACGGACGACGGGGACGGACGACGGGGACGGACGACCGGGACGGACGACAGGGACGGACGACAGGGACGGACGACAGGGACGGACGACAGGGACGGACGACAGGGAGAGACGACCGGGAGAGACGACCGGGAGAGACGACCGGGAGGGACGACCGGGACGGACGACCGGGACGGACGACAGGGACGGACGACAGGGACAGACGACCGGGACAGACGACAGGGACAGACGACAGGGACAGACGACAGGGACAGACGACAGGGACAGACGACAGGGACAGACGACAGGGACAGACGACAGGGACAGACGACAGGGACAGACGACAGGGACAGACGACAGGGACAGACGACAGGGACAGACGACAGGGACGGACGACCGGGACGGACGACCGGGACGGACGACCGGGACGGACGACCGGGAGAGACGACCGGGAGAGACGACCGGGAGGGACGACCGGGACGGACGACAGGGACGGACGACAGGGACAGACGACCGGGACAGACGACCGGGACAGACGACCGGGAGAGACGACCGGGAGAGACGACCGGGAGGGACGACCGGGACGGACGACAGGGACGGACGACAGGGACGGACGACAGGGACGGACGACAGGGACGGACGACAGGGACAGACGACCGGGACAGACGACCGGGACAGACGACCGGGACAGACGACCGGGACGGACGACAGGGACGGACGACAGGGACGGACGACAGGGACAGACGACCGGGACAGACGACCGGGACAGACGACCGGGACAGACGACGGGGACAGACGACGGGGACAGACGACGGGGACAGACGACGGGGACAGACGACGGGGACAGACGACCGGGACAGACGACGGGGACAGACGACCGGGAGAGACGACCGGGACAGACGACGGGGACAGACGACCGGGACAGACGACGGGGACAGACGACGGGGAGAGACGACCGGGACAGACGACCGGGAGAGACGACCGGGACAGACGACGGGGACAGACGACCGGGACAGACGACGGGGACAGACGACGGGGACGGACGACCGGGACGGACGACAGGGACGGACGACAGGGACGGACGACCGGGACGGACGACCGGGACGGACGACCGGGAGAGACGACCGGGAGAGACGACCGGGAGGGACGACCGGGACGGACGACAGGGACGGACGACAGGGACGGACGACAGGGACGGACGACCGGGACGGACGACCGGGACGGACGACAGGGACGGACGACAGGGACGGACGACAGGGACGGACGACAGGGACGGACGACAGGGACGGACGACAGGGACGGACGACAGGGACGGACGACAGGGGACGGACGACAGGGACGGACGACAGGGACGGACGACAGGGACGGACGACCGGGAGAGACGACAGGGACAGACGACAGGGACAGACGACGGGGACAGACGACGGGGACAGACGACGGGGACAGACGACCGGGACAGACGACCGGGAGAGACGACCGGGACAGACGACCGGGACAGACGACGGGGACAGACGACGGGGACAGACGACCGGGACAGACGACCGGGACAGACGACGGGGACAGACGACCGGGACAGACGACAGGGACAGACGACAGGGACAGACGACAGGGACAGACGACCGGGACAGACGACCGGGACAGACGACGGGGACAGACGACGGGGACAGACGACGGGGACAGACGACGGGGACAGACGACGGGGACAGATGACGGGGACAGACGACCGGGACAGACGACGGGGACAGACGACCGGGAGAGACGACCGGGACAGACGACGGGACAGACGACCGGGACAGACGACGGGGACAGACGACGGGGAGAGACGACCGGGACAGACGACCGGGAGAGACGACCGGGACAGACGACGGGGACAGACGACCGGGACAGACGACGGGGACAGACGACGGGGACGGACGACGGGGACGGACGACCGGGACGGACGACAGGGACGGACGACAGGGACGGACGACCGGGACGGACGACCGGGAGAGACGACCGGGAGAGACGACCGGGAGGGACGACCGGGACGGACGACAGGGACGGACGACAGGGACGGACGACAGGGACGGACGACCGGGACGGACGACCGGGACGGACGACAGGGACGGACGACAGGGACGGACGACAGGGACGGACGACAGGGACGGACGACCGGGACGGACGACCGGGACGGACGACCGGGACGGACGACAGGGACGGACGACAGGGACGGACGACAGGGACAGACGACAGGGACAGACGACAGGGACAGACGACAGGGACGGACGACAGGGACGGACGACCGGGAGAGACGACAGGGACAGACGACAGGGACAGACGACAGGGACAGACGACCGGGAGAGACGACCGGGAGAGACGACAGGGACAGACGACAGGGACAGACGACAGGGACAGACGACAGGGACAGACGACCGGGAGAGACGACAGGGACGGACGACAGGGACGGACGACAGGGACGGACGACAGGGACGGACGACAGGGACGGACGACCGGGAGAGACGACAGGGACAGACGACAGGGACAGACGACAGGGACAGACGACCGGGAGAGACGACAGGGACAGACGACAGGGACGGACGACAGGGACGGACGACAGGGACGGACGACCGGGAGAGACGACAGGGACAGACGACCGGGACAGACGACAGGGACAGACGACAGACGACCGGGAGAGACGACCGGGAGAGACGACAGGGACAGACGACAGGGACAGACGACCGGGAGAGACGACAGGGACAGACGACCGGGACAGACGACAGGGACAGACGACCGGGACAGACGACAGGGACAGACGACCGGGAGAGACGACAGGGACAGACGACAGGGACAGACGACAGGGACAGACGACCGGGAGAGACGACAGGGACAGACGACAGGGACGGACGACAGGGACGGACGACAGGGACGGACGACCGGGAGAGACGACAGGGACAGACGACCGGGACAGACGACAGGGACAGACGACAGACGACCGGGAGAGACGACCGGGAGAGACGACAGGGACAGACGACAGGGACAGACGACCGGGACAGACGACCGGGACAGACGACCGGGACGGACGACCGGGACGGACGACAGGGACGGACGACAGGGACAGACGACAGGGACAGACGACCGGGACAGACGACCGGGACAGACGACGGGGACAGACGACGGGGACAGACGACGGGGACAGACGACGGGGACAGACGACGGGGACAGACGACCGGGACAGACGACCGGGACAGACGACGGGGACAGACGACCGGGAGAGACGACCGGGACAGACGACGGGGACAGACGACCGGGACAGACGACGGGGACAGACGACGGGGAGAGACGACCGGGACAGACGACCGGGAGAGACGACCGGGACAGACGACGGGGACAGACGACCGGGACAGACGACGGGGACAGACGACGGGGACGGACGACGGGGACGGACGACCGGGACGGACGACAGGGACGGACGACAGGGACGGACGACAGGGACGGACGACCGGGAGAGACGACAGGGACAGACGACCGGGACAGACGACAGGGACAGACGACAGACGACCGGGAGAGACGACCGGGAGAGACGACAGGGACAGACGACAGGGACAGACGACCGGGAGAGACGACAGGGACAGACGACCGGGACAGACGACAGGGACAGACGACCGGGACAGACGACAGGGACAGACGACCGGGACAGACGACCGGGACAGACGACCGGGACAGACGACAGGGACAGACGACAGGGACAGACGACCGGGAGAGACGACCGGGACAGACGACAGGGACAGACGACCGGGAGAGACGACCGGGACAGACGACAGGGACAGACGATAGGAGCTGATTTTTGGACTATTCGACTGCAACCCTGATCCAGTTTGTGAAGACCAGGTTTCAAGTTTCAAGGCTTTATTGCCACTTGCACCTTAGCTACAGTGAGTCAATGAGAAACTGAAGCCCTCCTCCAACAGAGCAACATGAATATATACAGGACATAAGACAAATAAAACAGATGAAATAGAGCAAGAGAATGTTTTGAGATGTGCAAGTTAATACAAATAAAATAGAAATAGTGTAAAAAGAGTCTAGATACAAGTAAATGGAATATGATATATTCCAGGTGATCTTACCTGTCATGGTGGCGTGAGGGGGCGGAGCCAGAGGGTCCGGTCAGCTCGTTGCCGACGGTGATGACGAGGTTGTGGTCGATGGGCGACAGCGACCTCTGAGGAAGAGACACGTTCATTTATTACGAAATCAGAAAATGAATCAATGAAACATTTATCTTGTCTCGTTGTTTATTCCACTTACTGATCAGAATACCTTAATGTTAGGATTATTTAGTTCATATTTAATGTATACTTACACTGAGAACACTAACCCTCATTATTATCAACAATACACTCATGTTTTAACAAACAATACAGAATGGCTATTAAATCATAAATACATACAGAGACACTGACCGTGCTATAAAGTAAATGTCGCCATTAAACTCACTACATGCATTATGGGTTGTGTTTGTATCTCAATACCACTTTACACTGATAAAGCAGATATAACTTCAGAATAATATATATGATATGTTTTATAATGATTGATCATGAAAGTGTTCTCAAAGCTGGTAAAGGTGCAGCTAGTTTGAATGACTATCTGCAGGGTAGCTTGTGGATTTACTCCAGGTGGAACTAAAGTCTGATTTAACACTTGGTTATATTTCACATCATTCATCCACATCTGTGAAGTAACTAAAGGTATTAAATACATGTAGTGGAGGAGAAGTACACCATGTACCTCTGAACTGTAGTGCACTAAAGTACAGTACTAGAGTAAATGTACTAAGTTACTTTACAGCACTGATAATAAATAACATGTGTACACTGTTAGCTGTTGTTAGCCGATGCTAGCGTTAGCATGGTGGATTTCTGTCAAAGCTCCTAAAATATATGACGCAGTAAAGATATAACTTTGGCGGGTAAAACACACGTTAGTAGTGTGTGTGGGGAACATGTAGTGTGTGTGAGGAACATGTTAATATAATACAATGAGCTCTGGAGCAGGGCTCATGTTACACACTGAGATCGGTGCACAGATGCTAACCCTGTGTGTGTAAAGAGACTCGCTCCGTGGCGCATGAAGCCACAATAGTCAGGAAGTACCCGGATGTGGGCCCACAGAGCGTGCGCAGTGGAGTGTTTCCCCTTTCATCTCATTGTTTACTCGTGTAATGCCGGACAACACGCTGTTGCGACTCAATAATGACCGAGTTTGGGGGGGAAAAAGGACCCCCCTCTTTCCCAGTGGGGGACTGGTAAAGGTTTAGGGTTAGTTAATAAAGGGTTTCTGATTCTGAATGTAAGTCAATGGGAAAAGTTTAAGGATGTTATGGGCCCAGTGACGGAAGCTGTAGTACCGCCATGTGGCCGCTACGCACTTTCCAGATCTGAGCTTCAGAGAGAGCTGTTCCTGTGGAGCTGAGACCAAACAAAGCTGCAGAACCCAGAGATATACAGTACCCAAGTAGAACTGATATTTCAAGGCTTTTCGAGGCTTTTATTGTCATGTGTGCATAGCTACAGTGCAGATATGAGGGTGAACGTCTGAGGTCCCAGGCTCCTCCAACAGAACACAATACAACAGATAACAGATAGAGATGAATGGAGCACCTCTCTCTGGGCTCCGGAGCTCCACTTCTCCCCGGGGGATCCGTACCTCCTTCTGCGGTCCTGGTGCAGCGGGGGTCCCGGGGAGTAGGAGGGTCCCGGAGGGTAGGACGGTCCCTGGTTGTAGGCGGGCCGGTGGTCCCTGAACCCCTGGGCCGGGTAGGGCCTCTGCGGCGGCCCGCGGGCCTCAGGCGGCCGGTAGCCTCCTCTCTGAGGCCGGCCTCGGTACATGTCCTCCGGCAGAGATCCAGGTTAGTCGAGACTCTGTTACCGGAGATAGATATCTATGAGAGAGGCTCTAAAGTCACCTGAGGTTATTATCTAAACTGAGGTTATTATCTAAACTGAGGTTAGTATCTACAGACTCTCTGCACACAGCAACACAACCTCCCGCTCCTTCTTCTTCTACTGCAGAAACACACAGCGGTGCTGCCCCCTGCAGGAACACCGGGGTACCGCGGTACTCTCAGAGTCAGAGGTTAACCCTAACCCCCTGCAGGAACACCGGGGTACCACGGAGCCAGAGTCAGTCAGAATCAGTATCAGAGTCAGAATCAGAACCAGAGTCAGAATCAGAACCAGAGTCAGAGTCCTTACTTCTTACTTGCTACTACCCCTTTCCCTCAACCTATCCTAACGGCCCGTCCACACAGCGGCGTGCGTTGAAGCTTGCTCCATTTTTTTGAATATGAGGAAATGACCTGCGGTGTGTCTCTCCCAGCATACACGCGGTTTGATTGGCTGACGCTTCCACCGAAGCTTCAGAAGCTTCAAAAGTTGAACATGGCTCAACTTTTGCAGCGAGCAACGCGTAGCTACGCTCCCCACAATGAAGTTCGGCGAAGCGTGACGTCACCCCATTCAAGTGAATGGAGCAAGCTTCAACGCACGCCGCTGTGTGGACGGGCCATAAGGGAGTCCATGTACGTAGACACGTTAGTTTAGCTGCTATAGGCTTAGACTGTCGGGGGACACCTCACTTCTCCCTTCTCTCTGTACCTGTGTACTCTCATGTTCCCAATAACCCAGCTTCCCCCACATTTCTTTTTGGTGTCTATCTACGCCGGGATCCTGAGTCGTGGCTGAACCTGTCTCTGTGGTCCTGCCTGACTCTCATCATACTACTTCCCTGATGGCTCCCACAGGATTGTTGACATCCTCGTGGATTCATCTTATTATTATAGACACATGCATTTCCAAACATTCGGTCTACTTACGCTGTGAAATGTATTATCTCTTGGATTTACACACGGCATCTAGTGCACGTCTGTCCGTCCTGGGAGAGGGATCCCTCCTCTGCTGCTCTCCCTGAGGTTTCTCCATGTTCCCTTTAAACTGTGGGGTTTCTCTCTGGAAGTGTTTCCTTGTACGATGTGAGGGTCTAAGGTAGTGTTTCTCAAAGTGGGGGGCGCGCCCCCCCTGGGGGGCGCAGAGGAATGACAAGGGGGGCGCGAGAGACCAGGAGGAAAAATGGTTTTGAAAATAAAAAATCATAATTTGAAAAATTATTGATTCTAAAATAATATGATTCAGTTCAAGTACGTCTGGGTCTCTGTGTTTCATTCACGCTCTGCTCTGTGTGTGTGGAACGAGCCATTTTGTGTGCGTGCGCATGCACGAGCGAGAGAGAGAGAGCGCACCGGTACCGGAGATCGTTGTTGTTAGCTTCTGGTGCTAGCGAGCTAGTGGCTAGGTCTCAAACGTTTTGGTCACGATTAATGTAAACAATTATTTCCGAGGCTCACGTTCATATGATCATTATAGTTAAACTAAAATAAGAGAATACATGAAAAACAGGTATGAAATACTTTATGACAGTAAAACAAGAATACAGTTTGAAAGGGGAGTGATTTGTAAAATATCCACAAAGAAAAAGTAAATCTGTTTCCAGTTGTGTTTCAAATGGGTGTTGAGAGGTCTCCATAGATCTCTCAACACCCATTCCGGAGCTTGCCCCCGGACCCCCTGTGTGAGGCCCACCCTCCACTTATAAAAAGAGCACGTTACCCCTGCTTACACCTATATGCCCGCGAGCTGATTATCGAGCCTTCATTGTAACAGTCGCGGGTACACTGTGTGTGTGTGTGTGTGCATGTGTGTGTGTGTGCGTGTGTTGTTGGAGCACCACCCTTTGGAGTGGTTGAAGGTTCGAGCCTGCTCCGCGCCGTTCGTTGATGAGTGGTCTGCTATAAGAAGAAGGACTCAGACACCAAGATATGAGGTTAACAATAAACTGATTTAATGGTAAAAGCAACAGTACAATATAACGAAGTACTTTGGGCTCTGGTCTTACCACCGTGTGATATACGTATCAGGACAGTCGGGCTCTGGTCTTACCACCGTGTGATATACGTATCAGGACAGTCGGGCTCTGGTCTTACCACCGTGTGATATACGTATCAGGACAGTACTTCGGGCTCTGGTCTTACCACCGTGTGATATACGTATCAGGACAGTCCTTCGGGCTCTGGTCTTACCACCGTGTGATAGACGTATCAGGACAGTCCGTCAGAAGACGTATCAGGACAGTCCGTCAGAAGACGTATCAGGACAGTCCGTCAGAAGACGTATCAGGACAGTCCTTCGGGCTCTGGTCTTACCACCGTGTGATAGACGTATCAGGACAGTCCGTCAGAAGACGTATCAGGACAGTCCGTCAGAAGACGTATCAGGACAGTCCGTCAGAAGACGTATCAGGACAGTCCGTCAGAAGACGTATCAGGACAGTCCGTCAGAAGACGTATCAGGACAGTCCGTCAGAAGACGTATCAGGACGTCCCGTCAGAAGACGTATCAGGACAGTCCGTCAGAAGACGTATCAGGACAGCCTGTCAGAAGACGTATCAGGACAGTCCGTCAGAAGAGAGCCTCGACATGAATATTGGGGCATTTACATACAGATTCTGATACCAGTACAACCTGTGAACATTTGTGATATTGGGCTATATAAATAAACATTGATTGATTGATTGATTGGCCAGCGCTCCAACACTCTGTGTGAGCGGTTGGCCAATCACAACAGAGCCGGCCAGCTAACCAATCAGAGCAGACTGGGTTTCTTTAATACATCAATAATGAAAATGTTTCACTTTTTTTCCTCAAAAATGTATTAAAAATATTTTTTAAACACAAAATTCCCCTCTGATCTCTCCATCCTGATTACACTACTCTATTCTCTATTCTCTCCATCCTGATATATAACAACCATCTATTCCTCTCCATCCTGATATACACCTCTATTCTCTATTCTCTCCATCCTGATATACACCTCTATTCTCTATTCTCTCCATCCTGATATACACCTCTATTCTCTATTCTCTCCATCCTGATATACACCTCTATTCTCTCCATCCTGATATACACCTCTATTCTCTCCATCCTGATATACACCTCTATTCTCTATTCTCTCCATCCTGATATACACCTCTATCTTCTCCATCCTGATATACACCTCTATTCTCTCCATCCTGATATACACCTCTATTCTCTCCATCCTGATATACACCTCTATTCTCTATTCTCTCCATCCTGATATACACCTCTATTCTCTCCATCCTGATATACACCTCTATTCTCTCCATCCTGATATACACCTCTATTCTCTCCATCCTGATATACTCTAAGAATGTATTTGATAAAATGATAAGTTATAAAATAAATCATTGTTCTGCTCCTGTAACCCCCCCCCCCCCCCCCCCCCCGTGTGACACTCCATGCAGCTTGTTGTTGTTGTTGTTGTACCTGCTACAGGGGGTCTGTTACCTCTTTGGTAACCCCCCTTGTTTATACAGACCCCCCCCCCGTGAGAGACTTACCTGTCAGCGACGCACTGTCTTCTGTCTGCAGAGGGGTGTCAATAAAGTTTCTATTATTACACATCTTTATGTTCAATACAGAAATGAATACAGATATCAATTAAATATATGATTTATAAACTCGTGTTAAAAGAAGCAGGATATTAAATATGAAACTCAACACGTCTCGGGGTCACAGTTCAACACGTCTCGGGGTCACAGTTCAACACGTCTCGGGGTCACAGTTCAACACGTCTCGGGGTCACAGTTCAACACGTCTCGGGGTCACAGTTCAACACGTCTCGGGGTCACAGTTCAACACGTCTCGGGGTCACAGCTCAACACGTCTCAGGGTCACAGTTCAACACGTCTCAGGGTCACAGTTCAACACGTCTCGGGGTCACAGCTCAACACGTCTCAGGGTCACAGTTCAACACGTCTCAGGGTCACAGCTCAACACGTCTCAGGGTCACAGTTCAACACGTCTCAGGGTCACAGTTCAACACGTCCGGGTCACAAGCTCAACCGTCTCAGGGTCACAGTTCAACACGTCTCAGGGTCACAGCTCAACACGTCTCAGGGTCACAGTTCAACACGTCTCGGGGTCACAGCTCAACACGTCTCAGGGTCACAGCTCAACACGTCTCAGGGTCACAGTTCAACACGTCTCAGGGTCACAACTCAACACGTCTCGGGGTCACAGTTCAACACGTCTCGGGGTCACAGCTCAACACGTCTCAGGGTCACAGCTCAACACGTCTCAGGGTCACAGTTCAACACGTCTCAGGGTCACAGTTCAACACGTCTCAGGGTCACAGTTCAACACGTCTCAGGGTCACAGCTCAACACGTCTCAGGGTCACAGCTCAACACGTCTCAACATGTCGCTATGAGGATTAAATAAAAGCACCAAACACTGAAATCAATATCTTTATTATTTTGTTACCAGAAACACAAGTCATCACGAGATGAAGAATAAAGGAAGTCTTACCTGCAGTCACAACTATCAACAACTATCAGGAAGTACATGAACACGTTTAGTTAGAAATACAATCCAGAAGTGAGTTTAAAGAGACAGCAGGTGTTTATTCTAAAGAGGAATGAGAAAAAGGTCATTTAATGCATTTAAAGACAGGAATCCTGAAAATCCTCGCGTTGAAACTAAAATCGAGCTTTATGACCCAGAAACAGGAAGGGGGCGGGGCCTCAGCTCTTCTCGGTAAGCTCCGCCTCCCAGCGCTCCAGGAAGTCCTGCAGGTTGAGGTTGAACACGTCGATGCCTTTGGGCGACAGATGCACCCCGTCGGCGCGGTACAGCCCGGTGTTGGCGCCGCAGCGGATGTTTTCGTGCGTCAACGAGGCGCCGCCCAGCTCCGACACGATGCTGTGGATCCGCCTATTAACGGTACATCGGACCAGGTCCACCTCCTGGCTGTCGGCCGAGTGACGCCACACCCTGCGGGGTAAGATATAGGACCAGACCAGCAGGCAGGAGGGGAAGATGCTCCTCATGGAGGTCAGGTCCTTCCTCACGGAGGCCAGCAGGTCCGTGGGGGCGTCGGTGCTCAGGTCGTTGCCCCCCAGGTGCATGATGAGCACGTCAGGGTTCGGCCAGGTGACTTTCAGC